GCCAAGGTTGGACACCCCTGTGCTAGAGTAAAGTTGGACTGCAATTCTTTCCTTTTTGGTGGAAATGGGAGGCAGCCTTTGCTCCTTCCGCAACACCGTCCCTCTGGGAGTGGAGACAAGACCCGAGAGGACAGTTGCTTCAAGAGGCTGGTCCTTCCTTGAAGCCCACCTGAAATTGCACCCCACAATCTGTACCCACCAACACGTAGCCATTCCTATTCAATGGGATGTTGGTTTCAGGCAGAATGTTCACTCCCAATGAAACATGCAAGTAATGGCTGCTCCCTAATGTCCCTTTCAGGAAGTCTAAAGCAGAAGGAAGAACATGATTCGCTCATGCCGTGCCAGAAGCTTTATCTGCAGGAAAAGATCATGCATGAAATCTCCAGCTCCTTCTCACCCGTGGATCTACCTCAAGACCAGCCAAAGTCAGCAGATGTTGCAACCTGGTTGAAAGCCGAAGGAGGAGGAAGCGGCCATCTACTTTTTCAATATTATATGATCCCAGAATCATCTGGTGTAGGCCGATGGTAATCGTGGAGGGAGGGTGGGTGGACCTGCAGCTACGGGGCCAACGGTTGCCATCCAACAAAAGACCGATCCATGAGGCAGCACATGAATAGAACCAAGGATGGGAAGGGGTTCTTTTGCCACATCTGGGTTTTCTCTGCCAGTCACTTTCATGATGAAGCTCTTGGAATCCCTCCCCTGACCCCCAATTGCCTTTTTCCTAAGCCATGAAGTCCAAAATGGGCCATTTTTTCTCTCAGGTGCAAATGGCTCCAGAGGGCTTTTACTGCACACCTTTTCCAGTGTGAGGCAAGAATAACATATACCCAAGTGTGGTCTCACAACGGACGTACACAAGATACAACCATGCTGGCAATTTCCTTCCTCTCTTTTCTCGAAGGAGCCTCATTCCCAGCAGCTGCAGAAGCCGGCTGGGTCTTTTGAAGAGATCCAGGCCTGCGGTCATCAGCAACGGGTCCTTCAGGGTGAGGGACCTGGCCATTGTGTCTCATTGGGCGTGGTCACTGCCAGGACAATCTCTGCCTCTGGGACTGTTGGCAGGGGGGAATTGACTGGGAATCCCATGGCAAAAACAAGACAGATGTAACAAAGAAGAAATTGCAGCGTACAGACTCCTAATCCAAGCTGAAGTCTTCCTACCTCTTGCACAGTGAACACACCGAGCTGATAAATAAATATCAGATACAGCACTAACGGAGCCGTTAGGAGAGATTGCCAGCCCTTGGTAGCGTGGGACCCTGCCCTCATTTTAATCAACTGGGGCTGGCACAGCTTATTGTGACAGGGGCGAGACCTAGCTGGTCTCATAAGGAAATGGGGCGGGGGGCGGTAGCTGAAGACCAGGCTAGGAAATCTGAAAGGGCATCCATGAAGAACGTGGAAACGCAGGCAGGTTTCCCTGAAGCTACCCAGAAAACTGCCTGAGCAGTCCATGAAGTGCAAAGGACCGAGCATCACCTTTTTCATCCCCTGCAAAATCCCCCATGCACAAAGGGCAGAGCAAATGGTCATAAAAATAGCAATCGAGACTCCAGAGGACTGGGGTGAAATGCTGGGTTTGGGGGGTGGGGAAGGAAAGGGCTTCAGGAGCATTCAGGAACTGGTACCACCAGCAGCCCCCTGGCTCTCCCTGCCATGATCTCTGATCTATGCTGTGTGTGTGGGGGGGGGGGGGGAATTCACTTTGGCCCCCCCGGGGGGGCTGCTGCCCGGGGCGGGACGGGCGCGGGGGGGGGGGGGGGGGGGGGGGGGGATCCTGCCCCCCCTTCCCTGGGGAGGGGAAGGTTGTGGGACCCCCCCCCCCTCCAGAGGGTTCTCCCCGTCTGCCACCAGGCAGCGATGGCGGGTCTCCCCCTCACCTGCTGCCCCGGGGGATCGCTGCACAGGGGCAGGGAGGGGACAGTCCAGTTGCAGCTGGGGTCGCCACTGGGGTGGGGGGGGGGGGGGGGGGGGGTGGATGGGATTAGCACGCATCTCTTTGTATGCAGCCGGGAAGCGCTGCTCCTCCCGGACCCCAGTTCAACTTTCCACCCACCTCCAGGACAGGCAGCCTCAGCCCAGTCCCCGCGGAGGGCGGCACATCTCTCCCCCCCCCGCGCCGCCTCCTCCCCCAGGGATCTCTGCAGAGGGATCAGCGAGCCGTCCCGCTCCTCTCGTGCAAGGGCAGCGGCGACCAAGGCGAGCCGGGCACCTTGCGAGGCGCCGCCCCCGCCACTTCGGCCAGTGGGACAGCGGAGGGGGCGGGGGGGGGGGTCCGGGGTCTCCCGTCCCTCCTCAAAGGGCGGCCCGAGTTCTCTGCGCTGATTCCTGCAGCGATCCTAGAACGTCGCCCTCCCCCAAGCGGGGCAGGGTGGGGGACGCTGTCGCGGGGGGGGGGGGGCGGGAATGGGTCGGACGCGGCCTCTTTGGCGCGCTCCGACGGTGCCGTCCCCGTGCAAGGGCGCCCACCCGCCAGCTGCACCGCCTCCTCCGCTGTGCCGAGAGCGGAGCGCGCCGCCTCCCCGCGCGATCTACCTGGCCGACGGCTGGGGGATCCCGACGATCGCGAGGGCTGCTAAGCGAGCGCCAGCGACTCTCCCTGCCGCATCTTCCGCCGCCGCCTCCTCCTTACAACCGCTGGAGCCGGAGCGGCACGCGCTTCCCGCCCGGGCGAGAAGGAGGGGCTCCGGCAAAGGCGGGGAGGAGGGCCCTGCAGCTCCCCCGGCGGGGCTGCCCGGAATCTCCCCTCCCGCCGAGGGAGTCCCGAGCCCGCCTGGCCTGCGCCCTCCTGCCCAGCCCAGGGAAGGCGCCGCTGGGCGCAGCAGAGCCCCCCCCCGAGCGCCCCCCTCCCTGCGGGGTGGTACAGTCCGGCGGGGACGGAGAGGGTCGTCGCTTCGGAGGGCTCTCCGGGCGGGTCCGGTGCTCCCGGGTCCCGGCCCGCCTCCCGCGCTCCCGCGCGCCGCTTCGTCCGCCCGGGATGGCTGCTTTCCGATCGCCCGACGTCTCCCCGCCCGCCCCCAAGGAAGCGAGGATGGCTTGCCGGGAGGGCCGGGGGCGCTGCCGACGAAAACGCTGGAAACAGGCAAACGCGCCACTAAAAATAAGCTGAAAGGGAGAACAATCCCCTCAGCCTAACCCTAACCCCCTTGCAAGTTGCCTACCGACAAATAGTGAGGGAGATGCTGCTGCTAATATGGCTCTGCTCTCCCCTTACAACATCTTGAATCTATGCAAGGGCCCTTCAGCCTTCAAAACTGTAGAGATGATAGGAGATTTTAGGAGAAGCCCTGCTATTCTACTATCCTTTACAATACTAGACAACACAGTATCAACAGTAGACGCAGTCAAGTTTCTAGGTTCTATAATATATCAGGACTTAAAATGGACACCTAACATCAAAAATGTCATTAGAAAAGCACAACTAACAATATTCTTGTGCCAACTCCAAAAACTCAGACTGCCCAAGGAGTTGATGATACAGTTCTACAAAGGAATCAAAGTCATTTGCTCTCGTGTACAGGTGAAACTTGAAAAATTAGAATATCATGCAAAAGTTCATTTATTTCAGTAATGCAACTTAAAAGGTGAAACTAATATATGAGATAGACTCATTACATACAAAGCAAGATAGTTCAAGCTGTGATGTGTCATAGTTGAGAAGGAAAGCCTCAAAAGGTAATTGCAAAAGAAGTTGGATGTTCCCAAAGTGCTGTACTGAAGCACATTAATAGAAAGTTATGTGGAAGGGGAAAGTGTGGAAGAAAAAGGTGCACAAGCAGCAGGGATGACCGCAGCCTGGAGAGGATGGTCAGGAAAAGGCCATTCAAAAGTTTTGGGGACTTTCACAAGGAGTGGACTGAGGCTGGAGTCAGTGCATCAAGAGCCACCACACACAGACGGATCATGGACATGGGCTTCAAATGTCGTATTCCTCTTGTCAAGCCGCTCCTGAACAACAAACAACATCAGAAGCGTCTTACCTGGGCTAAAGAAAAACAGAACTGGTCTGTCGCTCAGTGGTCCAAAGTCCTCTTTTCTGATGAGAGCAACTTTTGCATCTCATTTGGAAACCAAGGACCCAGAGTCTGGAGGAAGAACGGAGAGGCACACACTGCAAGATGCTTGAAGTCCAGTGTGAAGTTTCCACAGTCTGTGTTGATTTGGAGAGCCATGTCATCTGCTGGTGTTGGTCCACTGTGCTTCATTAAGTCCAGGGTCAACGCAGCCATCTACCAGGAGATTTTGGAGCACTTCATGCTTCCTTCAGCAGACGAGCTTTATGGGGATGCTGACTTCATTTTCCAGCAGGACTTGGCACCTGCCCACACTGCCAAAAGCACCAAAACTTGGTTCAATGACCATGGGATTACTGTGCTTGATTGGCCAGCAAACTCGCCTGACCTGAACCCCATAGAGAATCTATGGGACATTGTCAAGAGAAAGATGAGAGACATGAGACCGAACAATGCAGAAGAGCTGAAGGCCTCTATTGAAGCATCCTGGTCTTCCATAACACCTCAGCAGTGCCACAGGGTGATAGCTTCCATGCCACACCGCATTGAGGCAGTAATTGCTGCAAAAGGGCCCAAACCAAGTACTGAGTACATATGCATGCTTATACTTTTCAGAGGTCCAATATTGTTCTATGTACAATCCTTGTTTTATTGATTGCGTGTAATATTCTAATTTTCTGAGATTGTGGATTTGGGGTTTTCATGAGCTGTAAGCCATAATCATCTCAATTATGACAAATCACGGCTTGAACTATCTTGCTTTGCATGTAATGAGTATCTCATATGTTAGTTTCACCTTTTAAGTTGCATTACTGAAATAAATGAACTTTTGCACGATATTCTAATTTTTTGAGTTTCACCTGTATAACTGTCTGGTTTGGTTCTGCAACCCAGCAAGACAGACACAGACTTCAATGGATAGTTAGGACTGCAGAAAAAACAATTACTACCAACCTGCCTTCAATCAAGGACCGGAATACTGCAAGAGCCAGAAAGTGGGCTGTGAAAATATCTACAGATTCCTCACATCCTGGACATAAACTTTTTCAACTTCTTCCCTCAAGATGATGCTAGAGCATTGCACGCCAAGATATTTTCTAATAACATAAAAACTTGCATTAAAATCAGGTGCAAGCAGAGTCAGCTGCCTATCTTCACTTTCTTTGAAGTTCACTAGCACCTGCCGTAACTGGGGGGGGGGATTTGGGAGGGGAAGAGCGCTGTGGGAAATTGGGGCGTATGGACACTAATAGGAACCGGGGTGCCAAACTCAGCCATCTTCCTGCCTTCAAGGACGCCGGCCCTGGGGAAGAAATTTACCGTGGCGCTGACTCTCGGGGGGGGGGGGTACTACTCTCGGGTGGGGGCGGTGTTGGGCATTGCTTTCAATATATGATTTCCATCTGTGGTTTTCCTTCAGACCTTGCCTCGCTCACATGCGCTCAGCGTTTCCAGTCAAAGGACCTTTTCTCTAACACCCATGGAGTCGCTCTTTCCTAGGGAACTAGCTGTGGCCACTCTGACATGCGGCCTTCCAGAATCAATGGAACACCAGTGCTTGTCATTCAACCCCTGAATGGTGAATGCGGTAGATTATATAAATCAGGTCATTTGCCCAGTGAAATCACAGCTCCTCCTTGGATGCATGAAAACAGGATCCGGTTGGTGCTCTTTGGTCTCCCCTGGACCGGCAGGCCCTCACTTGGTTCTTGCGAGGCAAGAAGGAAGAGCTGGCTCCCTAGGTGACTCCTTTCCCATTTTCAGAGCTATTTTAATCCTTTGCTACTTGACTGACAGATCTGGGCTTGGTGCAGAGAGATCTGAAAGCTTCCCCTTTCAGTTTCAAGTCTTCTATAAAAGCCAGCTAATCTTTCAGAACTGTTGGAGCTTCGGAGGTGATGTGTGTGGGGATGAACAGCCAGCAGGGTAAGAAAGAGGCAAAACGTTCAGCCCCACAGCAATCTTTTTCAGTCTTGGCAACGTTAAGATGTGTGGACTTCAACTCCCACAATTCCGGGACTTCTGGAGCGTCTTCTGCCCTACAGAGACCAAGGGAGCAGGTTTGAGAGGGGAAGGGCCTCCAGCCCCTTGACAAAGCCAGAGAAGCAAGTGAGCCCATTGTGCCAGGGAGGGGCAGGAGAGGAAATTGCAGAAGGCAGTTCAAATCCAGGTGCCAAACTGAAACCATCATCGGGATAATTCAGAGCAGAAAAAGTCTGCACGGGAGAGAGGGGGGACCTCTTGCAGCAAAGCAGGGAGCAACTGCTGGCCGCTTTGGTTTATGGGCAGTTCCCCCAAAATGGGAAAACTTGAGATGGAAAAGACAACGGGGGCTGGGGCGGAGACACTACAAGAAGAAAGATGGGAATCCTTGAATGAAACGTTCCATAAAAAGTGACACAGGGAGTCTTCACTTACAACCATTCATTTAGCCTCTGTTCAGTTACAACAGCACTTATGTAAATAGTGACATGACTGGTCCTCGCACTTACAACCTTTGAAGCATTCCCCATGGTCACATGATCAAAATTTGGTCCTTTGGCAACCAACACATAGGCACAAGCGTTATAGCATCGCATTATGACATCAGATTGTCTTTTGCAAACTTCCCAGCCAGGTTCAAAACCACCTTGCTCAACAATGTAAATTCTGGTTCCAGTGGTGGTCATAAATTGAGGATTATGTGTACATGAGAAATTCTTCTATATGCCATGGACTTTGTTGTAGTAATTGCCTTTTGTTTTGTTTCTTTCTTTCTGGTCTCTTTTATTAAATAGCACTCCTCCCCGTTACCCCCTGCTCATCTCCTAGCCCAGCCGACTCCATGCTGCTCTGAGGATGAAACCAATTTAAAAACTGGTCAAGAAAAGGGATCACCAGCAGGGCCAGAGGTAGGCCTCATGTGGAGCAATCGGGCAGATCCTGGCAGTGGCGGCTGGGACTGCCAGCAAGGCCAGAGGATTTCCCCGGCTTTATTAAAATGCACTTATAAAGTTCTTGGAAGGCTTGTGCAAAACAAAGGAACATCCCTGAGGTTGAGCCCAAGCCCTGAAAATCACCACTGAGCCCCCAAAGTACCCAAAAATGCTCACCTGCTCAGTGTCCTGAAAAAGGACAGGAGAGTGCCCATAAAATGCTGCCAAAATGCCAGGTTTGTGCAAGGAACCAAACGGGTTGGGGATCCACATGGTAAAATCTGGGCCACCCTGGAGGAAGTTCAGAGCAGCAGACTAAAGATCTAGGCCCCTTCCAACTCTTTGTCCTCTGTTCTAGATCAGAGGCCCCCAAACTTGGCCGCTTTAAGACTTGTGGACTTCAACTCGCAGAATTCTCCAGCCAGTTATTCTGAGAGTTGAAGTCTACAAGTCTTAAAGTGGCCAAGTTTGGGGGCCTCTGATCTAGATATAGAATCTGACTGATATACAGTGGGCAATGCTGCTGACTTCATGTCCTCTCTCAGCTTCCTCTCCCCCTCCGGTCATTGGATGGGGACTGGGGAATTCTGGGAGTGGAAGTCCACACATCTTAAAGTTGTAGAAGTTGCGAAACACAGGTCTACATGATACCGTATCTAGTTTGGTCCATTAAA